GAATCATATGTGCTCAGGGTGAAGTGACAATCTACCATAAAATAAATTTAAGGTCGCTTTATTGATTTGCGGGGAAATAATCTAAGTCGATATTATATTCCAGTCCCAGGTATTTTTGTTCTCAGAGTAAAACAGGAAATAAATTATTGAATAAAATTTGCAATATATATATATATATATATACACACATTATTGAATAATTAATACAAAATATTTACTATTTGGTATATAATTATTCACACAAGGTACTACTTTACAGTATAGTAACTTGCTTTGCTTTGCTTGATAACTATGAAGGGCGCACACTACAGCCGTTTTATTTGCCCAATTAAATCGTAAAATAGGCTACCTGTGCCCCTTAACTTGAGTGTCAAATATCGATCAAATCCTTGAACAGAGTAAGTAACGTAATTATAATCCGGATAAACATCATACAAGATCTAATCAATGGCCTATGTAATCCAAATGTTCAATGCCGACTCCATCAAGAATCTATTCCTATATATATGAGGCATCTTACACCGTACCTCGTCAAAACTGGACCCCGCAAGGTCACTGTGCAAATGCAATCCTCCTGCTTACATCTCGGTTTACTGCTAGGACGCTTATCCGTCGGGCCAGTGCTAATTAATCAACGGATTCTTTGATAACAAGTACATAAATCCTGCAATTTTTTACCTCAACTATGTTTACATGATGTATCCCTCATTTTATCGCGTTGTGTACACTCCTGAATTCTCTTTTTTCTAAGTAATATTACTACACCTTGTATCAGTACTTTAATGTCAAAAATTAATTTTCTAATGTCAGACAAGTATATAATATACTTTAAAATTGTTGTGGCATTCAATTTGTTAGCGTAATTAACTAAACACATATGAGGTAAATATGACAAGTGATATATATGTAACATGTAGGATATCGACAGATGCATAGATCGTTATCTATATATGTGCTTCATATAAATTCACATAACTTTTAATATTTTCATTGTTATTATTACATTCGTCAAATCATACTTTTAAATTTAATATTGATGATATTGACCGACTTATTAATTTTATTTTTCTACATCATCATTGATAAATGTACTAATACAAATCTACATGTACTGATAATGTATTCATTCATTGAATAACAAAGGTATCGAAATGTTTATTGATAAAGCAAACCTGCATCACTACAATCCATGAAAAAGATCTTGGATTCAGTAATTTGTAGAGTATTGCTGTTTCTATACCAAAAATTGAGCAAGGAGGTGATTTCGCCTTAACTTCTAGGTACATTCCACCATTTAAGAGTACCCATTTATAGAAGACTGGATGTGCCTTAGATGGGTCTTCCGGCCCCAGTCGATTCACGAATGATATATAGCAGAATAAACATCTGCCACAACAGAACTCGTGCATAAACCCACAAGGTGGGAGCCAATAGCGGATCCAGGATTTAATTTTGGGGGGCTTCAGCCTGGAAGCTTTTTATTTTTCGTATATATAACGATAATTACTTAGGAATAAAAAAAGAAACTAACTACCTTTATGAAATGGTGTTTAAGTGGTTCTTGAAGTCCTGTTTTAACAGAACATAAATTACATTTATGTAATTACAAAAACAATATTTTGAGATATAATTTTTTTGCATAAAACATGGTTATATTTTACCATTTGCAGGGGGGTTCAGCCAGAAAGTCCCTTATCGTAGATCCGCCTGTGGTGGGAGCAGAGTACTTTACTCATTGAACTTCAACAATCCTTCCTGAAGTTGAATGTCGAAAAAAATATTTTCCTAATACCTCGCTTTAATTTTCACCTTTAAGAGATCTTGAGTCCAAAAAAGTTATTGCTCTCTCTCCCTCTTATATATGTGTACTATTGGGATGGCCTTTCTGTTTATTTTTGTCACTATGATCCACTTCTTATCTTATGAATTAATCCCTAAGGTGAATTGTTTATCCTGTTAGTACTATGTCAACAACTATATCTGTTAACTCTTGTTGAAACAAGCTAAGTATAGTGTTTGCTATTGCACTGTGAATATGGAAGAAAATATCATTCATTATCGGCATATTTTGTTGTATTATTTTAAAATGGGCTGCAGAAGCTCATAGAAAAAATCGCAGAGTTTATGGTTATGACACCTTAACCGAACGCACCTGTCAAAATTGGTATGCCAAATTTTATTCAGGAAATTTGGACATCAATAATGCTCAACGGTCTGGTCGCTCACATTGAATTGAAACGAGCAATGTTAAGGTCATTGTTGATCAAAATACCACCTATTCAGTGCGCGAGATTGCTATGGCCCTAAATGTGTCGCACACAAGCGTTGAATACCATTTGCACAAGCTCGGCTATATTTCCAGGTTTAATGTTTGGGTCCCTCACACAATATTTTTTCTAAAATCACAAAAAATGTTATAACTTCAATACCACTTTAACTATCAACAAGAAATTTAGCAAGAATTTAGGGCCACATAAACTACGCAAATGACATCAACGTAATTTTCGTAAACAAACTGCAAATGAAGATAAAAAATAAAAACCTGTAAGGAGTTTTTGTTTATTTATTCTTTATGTAGGCATTAAATTAAAAAAAAAAACATTTATACGACTTTGAAGAGCAATAATTCAGCTTTCCAAAGGATATAGTAACATTGAATTTGGAGAACATCCTGAAGAGTTATGAATGATCGGAAGGATGTTGTATTCCACCAAGACAACACAAGGCCACCTACCTCATTGTTCACTAGCAATAAATTATTGAGCCTTAGATGGGACCTTTTGACCCACCATCCCTATTCACCAGACCTAGCTCCAAGTGACTACCACTTATTCCGGTCTCGGCAGAGATCCATGAATGGAAAGAAATTTCAATAGGAAGAGGACATCAAACACCACTTGGATTATTTGTTTAATAATAAACTCCAGACATTCTATGAACATGGCATTATGCAGTTAGTGAAAAGATGGCGAAAAGTCGTATTAAATAATGTTCAATATATTGTAGATTAATATAAATTTTATGTCTATAATGCATTGAGTTTTATTTCACCCTGAAAAACCTAAAGGACTTATTTGCCAACCCAATACATACGTAGTACAAATAGGTATTCACGTAATTTCAACTAAAAAATAACATAATTTTTAACAACCAATGTTTAACATAATTGTTGTATCAAATAAGTAAAGTGCCGATCTTGTATAAATAATTAAGCAGTCCAGCATCTCTTAAAACTTCAATATTCAAGCATTCTTGATTACATAATATCTATTACCTGAAATACTATCAAAGCTATTGTTATACAACAAAATGGTGTGATTATTCAATTGATAGATTTCAAATTGACTGTTGAGGTATATAATTATGATCTAAAATCTAGCCTTAGTAAAACCAAGCCAGATAGAAATATATGGAGTTCATTGAAAGGAGACAAACTTGTTTTAAAAACCGCTAATAGCGTTTATATAAAAACGTTTTGGATAAATGTTATCCACCGTTTAATAATTACTAATTTGTCTGGAAAACACAAGTCCAATTACTGTTGGTCTTAATAAGGAGGCGACGTCGTCTGGTCCAGAGGAGGAACAAGACTTCCTCAACCTTGAGAGAAAACTAAGTATCAACAATAATTACATTACATATAAAATATTATAATGAACTCATCACACCATTCAAAACACAAATATCATAAATTCCATTTTAATCATTATTACATCGTTCAATAATATTCAATTAACTTAATATATTCATTATTTCTAAGACGGTTCTGGAATAAAATAACCTATCCGAGAAAATTCGAATTGTTAGGAACTTCGATATAGCATATATTTAGTCACCAAACAAATATTTTAATCAGTTAATTTTAAAATCACGTTTTATACTTTGAATTGTGAATAAAATGACCGCCGTTAAAATAACATATTATCCGTACTTAACAAGCATTTGTGACCGTAAATTGAAATAGATAAGCAATCTACTTTTTCTACGAGTTATACAAATATAGAACATAATTAATTTAAACAAATGTGAACGTTTATTCCGTGATGCATATTAAAAATTATCATTCTGTACTTCGTACTAAAAAGTATCATATTGTAAAAAGCTGTGTAATAATTTGAAACAAATTTAAATATAAAGTTTGATGGTTCTTCTAAAAACGGAAAAAAATATCATTTGTTTTATTAACGCTAAAACACCATCAAAAGAGACTCTCCATTTAAGGATATGCTAAGATAGGATTCTGAAGGAAGTGAAGTACCATTGCTACTGACATGATTTTCATCCAACACGAAGTGGAGTAATTTGTGAAGCCGAAAACAGAAGAGAAGAGAGACAAAAAAAAAATCGGGGACAAAATAAATGTAACAGCATTAAGACGTGGCTGAAGAAGGGGTGGCAAAACCGATTCCATCCCTAGAGGGCGACCGCCCCCATAGCACAACAAAAAATCAACAGAAATCCATAACTCCGGACGCATCCACACCCGGCTCTTGGATCCCATCCCGGAACATACGTACACACTGGGATATACTTCCACTAGGTTCATTTATCCAAGCATATATCGTACATATCTCTTATTTTAAACAAATAAAAAAAATTAATGAAGTCAGTATTACACAAAATGTAAGAATGGGTCTACGAAAGAAATACTGATTATAGCCCGCCAACATTTAAAAATATTTCATGAATTTACAACTCCAATAAAACAAACATTAAAAAAATAATAGGATGAAACATAACAATTGGTTGGGCAAAAACATTTCTTAATGTTACTTAGTAGCACCAAAGATAAGAAAAATGGTCACGAAAGAAGTGTACAGCTGTGCATTGATAAAGACTACAGGCTAAAGAAAATAAAAATAACAATCCTCTTATCTCATGATATCTGTTGCCGACTAAAAGATACCAACTCCAGAAATCATGATTTAAGTTCAATAAAATACCAAAAATATCTTAAATAAAATAGAATTCAATAAGAAGGTGAGATGAGGAGTACTCACCAGATGTGCCGACCAGGTGTCATGACCGGATAACAGATAAACCCACAGACAGCACCAAGTTCACTGGCACGGGCCCCACACCATCTTTGATTCGGAGAACCCTCTCTCAGGCGAGGGCTGCCAACATAACTACAAGATAATCCCTCGCTACCGGACCCATTTCGTTTCGCCAACTATTGCGAGATCAGCAATCGTGGTCAAGGAAACCTTTATAAAACCAATAATGAAACATTTAATAACTAAAAATCTTACAAATTTACTATCGACCCATAAATTGTTGAAAGTTTAGTGTTGCCCTCTATTGACGGACTCAGGAAACAGCCACACCCCAGGAGAGAAACACCGATACAAAAATCAATAGGAACACTGTCAAAATTTCTACTGGCTGTTCTGAAAGATATCGCATACGATTAATATTCAAATTACTCCCAAATATCAATACTCATACTGATAAATAATAATCTATTATTAATGTAATTTTTATTTTCCTGAAGCTGTTTAATTTTGTTATATTTTTTAATTCAAAATATCATAAATGCATAAGAATTAGTTATTTTCATCCATTCTAAAGTTACAATATACTGTAGAGATTTTAACTATATTCAAAAGTAGTTAACTTTGTAGGAGAGGTTTGTCAAATATATATTATGTTATATATTATATATTATGATATTCTTATGTTATATATTAGTTTTACAATATTATGTTACATAATTTTTACAGCTACCCTAAACAACTTCTCCTAAATTAATTACTGGTTCAAATACATCAAACACATTATAAAATTGTCACAGGAATCAACATGCAATCTGAGTTGATAAAAAGTGGGGAGAAAGTGAGTTATGTTCATTGTGGCAAGAATAATAGACCAAAATATGATATTTCAAGGGGGGAAAAATTATAACATATCAATATTTTAAAATAAGGCTTTTGATTACTAAGTTGCTAGCTACTAATTCCTTAATTTATAGTTTTGCCAGAAAAAATATTTTTACTTTTAAATTGCTGAGTTTGAAATCAGTTTTTGGAAAAAAAATAGTCCTGTCGTAAAAAAATATGCAAAGTAAAATAAAAACTCAATTGAAAAGGATAAAAAAGCTTGTTTTATAAAAAAACAAAAAAAAGACAGATTCGTTAATATAATCGTAGATATAAAGATTTCTTGTTGTTGACAGCTTTTTTGAAATTAAGGTACTGTTGCACGTATTAATGATGATTAGTGGTGGGTTGCAGACATGAACTATATTAATGATCTGAAAAAAACATACACATGCTTTTTTATCATCCACTAGAACTAAGAACATATTTCGAATAAAAAATGAAAAATATCAAGTTTAGTAGTATATAAAAATATATATGGGTGATTTCAAAAGTATGGGTTATTTCAAGCATCTAATAGGATTATTTCTGCCCAAAAATATATGTCTTTTTCATTTACTACACCATACCAATGGAAGAATTAGTAATTTAAATTTAGAAATGAATTGTGAAACATAAGGACTAACATTTGTTTATTTCTAACATTATTCTTTTACATCTTCACTTTCGGATATTGCAGAGTTACCTACAGTGTTATAGTTCAAAAGAATACTGAAATGATGAAAAGTGAATATGTTAAATTAAAAAAAAAAGAAGAGTAGACAATGTTTTACAAGTTATTTTCTAAATTTGGTAAGTTAAAAAGTATCTAATTAAAACTACATAAGGTATGTAAATTCCTTTTTTATCTCAATAATCAGTCATTCAGTTCCATAAATAGTTTGGAGAATACCATATTCTAAAAACTTTGGAAGAATAGGCTGTTTTTAGAAATAGAAAATCAATCTAGAAATATATAAAACCAAGTAGAAAAATAACTATATCCTTTAATTAAGTATAACAGAAAAATGAGAATATTTACTATTGGAAAGTAAGGTTTTATATGGTCTTTAAATGAAAATAAATCTCACAAATACAAATAAATAAAAATTGCTTGTTGCTAATTTCCATATACCTACTTCTGTGAAAATGAGTATGTTTAAATCAATTTCCTATTTCTTATTAGAAATTGAAAACGTTCTTACAATACTATTTGGATTTATTTTACGAGTATTATTACAAATCTAATTACAAATTTTACATTGATTTTTTAAACTATCTGAATTTGTTTACTGTAATAATTGTAGTATTTATTGTTTCAGTAGTAATTATAGTAGCATGATCTTTACTAATTATTTCCACTCAAAACACATAGCAACAGCGATCCACTGTCTTACATTTCTATGTGGTCTGGAACAAGACTAGTCACTAATAAATCACAGTCACATAAATTTTTGTCGTTAATATTTGCATTTAAAATCGTATTACGTTTTTTATTTGATTTTATTTAGATATTTTTATCAATAGAAATATTCAAAACTAAGAATGATGTGTTTTTTTATAGAATAACTTCGGTGAAATCTTCATACTGTTAATCAACATTGTCTACTACTGAAATAAATTAAAAACTTTTTTTATTAGATATATTTTATAGTTATTAAATAGGTACTGATCGTGAAACAGATAGGTAATCAGGTTTGAAGTTTTTACAAGCAATCGAATAAAATGGAAATCTGGTCTCTAGTAAAAAAATAAAAAAATAAAGACTAACATCTATATAAAATTGACTTAATACTCTTTTCTATCCTTTGATGACAAAATAAATTTAAAGATAAAGCACAAAACACATGGGTGAAACATCTATTTTCTCAAAATAATGATCTCGCAATTACAAATATTGGACAAATTAATATTATAAATTTATTGTAGGTAATATAGTAAAATATTTAGAAATACATATTTATATTTGTATTCATAAATCAACCAATTTAGCACGGAAATTTGACTGGATCGTAATACTTTCCTTACCTAGTATAGGTAGGAAAATAAAAAAAAAAAAAACACATACCAATCAGCCAGTGCATTTTATGTATTGGTCTTGGTAACATTCCTTTCTTTTCCTCTATGTTTAGGGATTTATTGTATTATATATTTATTATTATATTATATTTATCTTTAAAGCAGTATTTATATTACCAATAAGTATTCCATATACACCTTTCAATTTCATTAAAAGATTGTTTGATACCATCTTTCCATCAACATAAGGTTTTGGGAGTCGAATTGGAGTCTTTTTCCTTGACTTCGAGAATATCTCTTGTATGGAAACAACAAATCTCCAGAGCACCTCTGATAATATGATCTTGTTGTTTTGAATTGTGTTAGATTACATAATATTCTAAAAACAAGCAAAAAAGTTGATAAGTTAAACTAAATAATTAATAACTTACAAATTATCAATTTACTGTCATTAACAGTCCTTTAGCAGCCAACTATCTGTTAAGTTTTTTTTTAATACTACTTCTTAGGTGACACTAATAATTCGTGCCATCCGTATTAGTTATGAAGGGAACCCATCCAAGATTTCGCCTCAAGTGCCTCAGTACTTCATGCTATGTCACTGTGTCTGATATATATTTATATGTTTCCTACTACATTTTGACTCTTCCAACAGTCTCCTTTTGATCTAATGAGCTAAAATTCGGTATTTATGGGCCGAATTCCTAACGCCATTAATCACTCCCTTTACCAATTATATGCCCATGAATTCCAGATTTACCAATCTTTCCAATCTTCTGAGATGCCTGAGGCTACCCAAAAGCTACAACAGGATATTACGGCATCAACAAATGGGGAGAAATAAATGAGTTAAAGCTGAATGCAGATAAAACTAAGGCTATTATCATCAGTTCCAGGCATCTCATTAGTCCCCTTCCTTGCCATCCTCTACTCTACCTCAATAACCACCCCATCCATATTTCCCAGATAACCCAAAAATCCATAACTGTCCTTAAACAACTGCTAAGGTTCCATGATTCGATTCCTCAAAAAACCAGACAGCTCCTTGTAATCTCCCTCGTTTTCACCCACTTCGACTACAGTTGGAGTAGAAACTGAAGAGACTTATGAACTGTTTTATAAGATTCATCATTGGAATTCTCAGGCATTCTTATGTTTCCTACAGGTACATCGAGTTGAAGTGGCTCTATCCTTCCTCCCAATGACAATTCCTTCTTGGTGTTTTCCAGGTCCTAGAAACCAAAAATCCTCCCTACATAATGGAACTCCTCACTCTACATTCCTCTATCCACTCTCTTAATACCAGATCTCAACCTATTGACTTATATATCCCTTCTCATAAAACTACATCCTTCAACAAATCCTTCGTTATTCGTGTTACCTCCTTCTGGGATTCTTTACCTATCCCAATACGGTTCTCCTCATCCATAAATTCCTTCAAACAGCTCTTATACCACCACTTACTTCATTTTCAAACTTTCTTACCTATGTAATACTTATTGGATTCTGTAATTACAACTGCTCACTAACAATTAATCGACAAGTTCCACTTGATTTTATGTCTTTTATTTATATATTTTTTCTTTGTATACATGTTAACTATATAAAATGTACTAGTGTTACCTTGTTTACTGTCCTTTTCATGTATAATTGCAATAGCAATTGAAATTAACATTCAAATGACAAGAATCTTTTTTTATTTTGTCAAGCCAGACTAATGTACCAATGTTTTGTATCAAGGTATTATTATTCTTAGGGAACTTTATTTCCAGAATAAAATTATTTTTTCATTCATTCATTCATTCAGAACAATATAAAAAAACTATAGGTAAAGATGGTCAAAATTTCTGCATTTCCAAACAGCTTTCTAATTATTTATGGTTTTTCACACTATAATCTCTCTGAATTTAGTTGGAGCATATAAAGTTGTATATGAATTGATTCGATTTTAGAGAAGTGCCTTTTAAGGGTATTAATTTTTCTTTGTTCCACCTCTGTCTTTTCAATTGGAAACTATCCATTGTCAAAATGATACCCAAACCCACAAAGGCGCCAGAATACCCATCCACTTACCGTCCTATCTTTTATCCATTATGGGCTAAATCCTAGACAAACTCATCTTAAAATGTCTGTATCCCATCCTAGATTCTAATCACATATTCTCAGATCACCAATTTGGATTCTGTACATCTCACTCCACTATTCAGCAATGTCATCGTGTGGTAGACGTAGTTTCCTCTACATTGGAGC